TCTTCTCAAAGATTATAGAAAATGTTTGTATAAGCCCGATCCGTTCAAATATTTGCAGCTGCATAATAAAATATAAACAATCCTTATCAATTAATAAACACGAAGAAATAGATTCTCCAAATTAAAATTAAATGGATTTTTTTTTCATAATCATATAAGCATATAATATAAGATATAAAGTATATAGATGATATTGCTAAATGGCTTACCGTCAATGATCCTTTACTCATTCATATATATACGGTAAAAAGATTTTGTTCATAAAATGAATATTGAAATCTAGACTTAAACCATAGTTCAATATATCATATACGTTGTCAAACATGATTAAATTTCCTGTAATGATCTCTAAATTCTAATTATTAGGGATAAAAGCAAAATGTCATTAATAATTGGTTTAGCTTGTCTTTCACATCAATAACTAAAGACTGGGCAGCTGTATATATGGAGGAATCTTACACTAATTACCCTGTAGAGAAAATATTTTAAATAAAAAAGGAAACAAATAATATTAAAATTTAAAATATGCGTATGATATGCTTCCACGCGATTTAATCTTCTTGCATCACAAGACAAACAGCATCATGGCTTTGTCTTCATGTCGGTTCATTATCCTTTTTTTTTTCTTTCCATTTTTAATGTACGATCTGAAATGTATTTTATTCAATTTTATAACGATTTAATTCGACTTTTCACGTATCAATTAAATTTCTCATTTAAATGATATTAAAGGGGCAATGTGTAAAAACAAGGTACTTAAAGAGAGAAATATAATATATATATATATATATATATATTATAAATTGAGCCACGTTTTACTTAGCGAATAAAATATACATTTGCATAGATGTGCGTGAAGTTGCCATATTCCATGGGCGGTATATGTCATTTCTGCTCACTCGTATTATACCAAAGACAATACAGCATCCATGATCCCCCCAACCCAAAAAAAAAATGTACTGCAAGTAGAGGTGGCCAATTCGGTTTTCGGTTCGTGTTCGGTTCGGTTATATTCGGGTTCGGTTATTTCGGTTATAGAAAAATTATAACCATTCGGTTTTTATATAAATTCCGGTTCGGTTTTTTTCGGTTATTTTTCGGTTCGGATTCGGTTCGGTTTTGGTAAAAAGTTTAATTTTTCAAAAAAAATATCGGTTATTCTCTCAGTTTTTCGGTTATTTTTTATTCGGTTCGGTTCGGTTTCGGTTTTTCGGGTTTAAAGAAATCATAACCGTTCGTTTTTAATATCGGATTCGGTTCGAATACGGTTATGTCTTATTCGGTTCGGTTCGGTTCAACTCGATTATTCGGTTAATAACCGAAATGACCACCCTATGCAACTTCTTCAAAACAACGAATAGAAGAAAAAACACTACAAAAACAAAGATTCCAAAAGTTAACTTATATATATAATATATACATATATAAATATAAATTTTTCATCAATATGTACACTCATACATATATATACATAGAGAGAGAGAGAGAGTTCTGCCACAGAGATCAGAGATGGGTCCTCTGTGTATATGTCCCATCTCTCCTTTTGTAGCGCGCATCTCTCGGGGGAGTTGTATTTTCTACATGGCCCATTAGCTCTCTCTCTCCCTCTCTCTCTCTCCCTCTCTCTCCCTCGCTCTCTCTCTCTCTCTCTCTCACACACACACACACGCGTAAATCGGTCATGAACAGTGAAGTGTTGAAGTATCGGCCTTGTATTTTTTTTTTTGGGCAGATTTTGTTAAGATTAAGGAGAAATATTTTGGGTATATGAATAAAAGAAACTTAGATGGTAATGTACTTGTTAAGAACGAGGGTCAAGCGTGGAGAAAAACATCAAGAAGAAAAACCTTTGGCATATGATACCAAGGATCATGGAGGTATAGATGCAACGTGGGCGTACATAAAAACGAAAACAAAAGATAAAACGTTATTCTATATGAAAATTTGTAAATGATGTCAAATAAAATAATTTTGTAAGACAATGGTTTTATAGTATCCATATTTGAGTGTTAGAATATGTGATTTCTAAAAAATATTATCTATTTTATCAACTATATTCCTTTAACGTTATGGTTAGATATATCTTTCCTCAAATTTTATGTAATATATATATATATATAATGTAATATATTGATATCGAACCTCTTATTAGAGATAATTTCATTAAAAAAAATTGTACCTTTCAATAATGCTCAAAGCAAAGCTTACCGCTATTAAATCTTTAATCATTCAACAACGGTCGCATTCTCTGCTTTATGACATTGTAGGTGAAATTAATATTTTGTTTGTTGTTATAATCTCATTATCTATTATCAATTTAAAGACCGGAAAAAAAAAAATGGGTGATCGAATTCCAATTTCTTTCTTGTTTATTTATAATTTTTTGGAATCGCATTAATAGAAATTAATTTAAATATGAATATAATATAAATATAAAAAATTGAAAGAAAAAAATTAGTTTAAAAAATAAACTAAAAAGTTTAACAGATGCAGAAAAAAAGGTATCAAACCAAATTTAATATTTTTTTTTATCTATAATCTATTTTTTATTTTATTTAGATAAAAAATTTAAAATTGATTAAACCAAAGCTAAAATGAACCATGTTTTCAATTTCAATTTGGTGCGAGATTGTTGAAAGATTATACAACATATGGCAATTTTCATAATATACTATAACGATCAAGTATACGGAATATTAGTATTAATTAAATCGTTTTCGTCAATGTTAATATATATATATATATATTATATAGTCAAAACAGGGAGAGCATGTGGGTATGAGCAGAGAAGGGTCATAAGAAACAGTTCAATGCGGAGTCTTGGTTTCTTCATCACTGCCATTGTTTGTCACTGCTTATCGTTGAAAACCTAGTTTCCTCTTTTTTTATTAATTAATTAATTAATTAATTTTTTTTGTAGTTTGACCGGTTCTTTTTTATTTTTTTCCCTTTTCAGCTAATTAAATATTTTCATGTTCTTATATATATATGTATATATATATATATATAATTGGTATGTTCATACAATTGATTATTCCTCTTGCTAAATAGCAAATAATACGTGACGTCACTCGACGAAATCGGTTTATACCACGATAAGTGTACACAAAGTAGAGTTGAGTTTTGGAATATCTTAATAATTATATTTGAATATATAAAATTCAATCTAATATATCAAATAACATATAATCACATCGAATACTTGTAAATGAAATATAATAACAAAAAAAATAGGAAATAAATATTTTGGAAAATAAATAGCTTTTTCTATAGATACTGATTTTGAATTGAATAGAATAAATCTTAATTTAATTATAAATTATATGAAAATGGCATAGATTAATTTTTCTATAAAATATATTTTATAAAATAATCAAATCAAAATTTTAAAACTTTAACTTGAATGTGGATACTGATTTATGTGAAAGTCTTCATCGTATCCAATTTTATTTTAGTGAAGATGAAAAATAATTATTGAGAAATTAAAATTGGTTCAAGTTCTGTTATTTGATTGGATTATTTACCGATCAAATCCGTGCTTATGGATATTATCTCTAAATATCATTTTCTTGTTTGTGTTTCTTGTGGTTTACCTAAATCCATGGTTCATTTTTTGTTTGAAATATTCATACAATTAATTTTTCAAACCACTACAAAACTATAAAATTAAAATTTGATATAATAAAAAATGTTCATTCTAACAAGAATACTAGATCTAGAATGTATTCCAATGTTAAAATTGTTGGGATTTTTAGAGTAAATGAATGAGAATTTAGAATCTCTCAAAAGGATTCATGTTTCACGTGTATTACGAGTATGGTGGAGGAGTTAAATACTTGTAAAAGACGTGTCATCAATTGGCTAAGTTGTTAAGGATTTGTCGGAAAAGTTTACGTTCGGTTTTGAACGTGAAAGGTGATCTCAGAAAAAATAGGAGGACAGTTCAAAAACATGGGCGGACAACCTGTTTTTTCTGAGGAATAAAGCCCAGAAATAAATGGGCGGTAGTTCGAAAAAACGGGAGGACAACCCGTTTTTTCTGAGCAGTTCAGGAATAAACGAGCGGGTAGTTCGAAAAAACGGGCGGGCAACCCGTTTTTTCTGAGCAGTTCGGAAATAACGAAAAATCACGACCGTTCGGAAAAAACTTCTGATTTCTTCATACTTTTCGATATTTGGAGTGTTTATAAACACATCTGGACATCCAAACATGAAATACAACAGATCTAGGTTCGTGTTTTGAGAGATTTGAGAGCACTTTTGTGGTTGTTCTTGCAAAACACTCACAAAAGCCTTTTGTTCATCTTCTTCTTGCGGTTTTTTGTGTTTGTGTTCTTAGGAGAGCAAATTAAGATCATTTTTCTCTTCATTGTATCTCAAAAACGTATTACGGGAAGTCTTTTGCTCGTATAGGACGGAATAACGTTTTTAGGAAAATGTATCACGCCTTAAAGAGTTATCCGGTTCCCGATCTACTTTTCTTGTTCATTTTATATCCCAGTTTTCTAACAAAAATTCTTATAATTATTCTTTATTATATCTAAATGACATCAAAATCCGTTTATCTATATTTCTATATAAAACAAATGATCCACCAAACCCTAATAATATCTATATTTATATGATATTCTTATAGTAAGAGAGATTGATAGTATATATATATATATTTATAATTTTAATTTAATAATAAAAACTTTAGTTATAAAATGCAGAACTTTTTATGTTTTTCCATTTCTTCCTTTTTACCGGAAATCACAAGGAAACAGGAGAAAAGAGCTGAAAGGAGAGATGGCTTAGCTTAGCCTTATCTCTCTCTCTCCTCTTTTATTATTTCTTTTTATAATATATAGTTTTCTGATATATTTTTTTTCTCATTATAATATTGAAATTGCTTTTTTTTTTCTCCCAAAGGCAAATAACGTCTTGTCAATCCACCGAAGCCACCCAACTCTCCCTTCATTATTGTTTCCATTCTCTCTCTCTCTCTCTCTCTCTCTCTCTCTCTCTCTCTCTCTCATTTTCTCCTCTCTTCTTCAATGTCACTTCCCTCTTGAAAACTACATGCCCGTTCGTGTTTTGTTGGTGCAACTTCACTTCATTTCATTTCATTTTAAAAAACTAATAATAAATTCCTCTTTTTATTTTGCCACTGTTATAACCTTTTCCATTCATCTCTCATGAGTCGTCTCAGTCATCTGGATTTGATGTTCTTAATTGTAGAGAGAAACCTGTGAAAATCAAATATTTAATAAATTAAAAAAAACAAAGAAGAAAAGCAAACAATTTCACAAATCCCTTCCCCTCTCTCTTTTCTTGTCAAGCTTTCATCCTACGCCCACCTAGGTTTTCTGTTCCTTCAATTCAATTCTAGGGTTTTCAAAAAAAAATATTTTTTTTTTCTCTTGTCTGATCTGGGCATGGAGGAATACCGCCGCCACGACTCCTCCGCTCCTCAAAGAGGAAGTTTCTTCTACACTCAGAGCTCGCCTCCCAACAAAAACGATGATAACAACAGCAACAGTAACAACAACAATAATTATACATCTGGTTATAATAGTAATCACCACCACATGTTGTTCCCCAACATGAGCTCTCAGCTTGTTCATCATCATCATCATCATCATCAAGCGGGTGAGAGTTGCTTCCGATCCGATCACGATCAGCCCAACCCAGTTGTTAAATCCGAAGCCAGCTCCTCAAGATTTCTCAACCACTACTCTATGTTGATGAGAGCCATTCACAATCACCAAGAACCCAACAACAACAACAACAACAACGGCAGCAGCAACAGCAAAAGCGGCGACAACAACGATGACAGCAACAGCAACAGCAACATTCCTGTCGGTAGCGAAGTCGAGGCCATGAAGGCGAAGATAATCGCTCATCCTCAGTACTCAAGCCTCTTGGAAGCTTACATGGACTGCCAAAAGGTACAAAACCCCCCATTATACTTGGATACATGAACATACGCATAACTGCAAACTGTTCATATATATATATATATATGTGTGTGTGTGTGTGAATAAATCATTTTTTGGAGTGAAGTTTTTGTTTGATTATTGATATATATATATATATTTATAGATAGGAGCTCCTCCTGAGGTTGTAGATAGACTCACTGCGGCGCTGCAAGAGTTCGAGACAAGGCAGCGATCAGCTGCGGCGGTGTCTGGAGACTACGGTGCACCAAGAGACCCCGAATTGGATCAATTCATGGTTATTAATTAATATTATTATCAATCTCTAATCTTTGTGTTGTTAATTAGGTTTAAACATGATTAGTTTTACATTCGTCTAATGCAAAAAAGATTCTGAATTTAACAGGAAGCTTATTGTGACATGTTGGTTAAGTACCGTGAAGAGCTAACACGACCGATACAAGAAGCTATGGAGTTCATACGTCGTATCGAAGCCCAACTTAACATGTCGTGCCAAGGTCCCGTTCGTATATTCAACAACGCCGGTACGTTTGTATGTACATGTGAATGTGAATATATATGTATCCTTAGATACATACGGTGCATACATGCATATATAACATATGAATCATTGAATCGAGTAATAGGAAAGTTGCCAAACATGTACTATAAAGCTATGTAGTGACAATGTAGGGCTCATGATGGAGTGTGATAAATGGTCTGTTTTCTTTTTGGGTTGTCTACCCGTATATACATACATACATACATGCATACATACATACATACATACATACATACATATATATATAATTATAACTTCGTTGGATCATATTACGCATTAATTTATTTGCCGTCAGATTGCATAAATATGTGTAATCATTTGGAAATGAGACGATAATTGTTGGGTATAGAGACAGATTGTTATGGCAAGTGTCAAAATATGTAGCGTTTGCACTTTTGTTTCATATGTTTCTTGTTTTTCTCTTTTAGGAATGCATCCAAGAAAGTGGGGTTTTTCACATTCTTCTTTTGTTCATCGATCTATATTGATAAGCTAATTAAATAATTTTATACATTATATTGTACAAATGTGCCTAACTATAAGTTCCTTGGCTTCTAGGATTAGTGTATATCTCAAAGACAAATCTTAAGCTTGTTGCACTTTTTTGTGTGTAGATTCTCTAATTTTGTGTTGAAATGTATGTATCTATATACATATATATACAGATGGGAAATGCGAAGGAGCGGGGTCATCGTCGGAGGACCAAGACAACAACAGCGGCGGTGAAACCGAACTGCCAGAGATCGATCCTCGAGCAGAAGATCGGGAACTCAAGAATCACTTGCTGAAGAAGTACAGCGGCTACTTGAGCAGCCTGAAGCAAGAACTGTCCAAGAAGAAGAAGAAAGGGAAGCTGCCGAAAGAGGCGAGGCAGAAGCTGCTCACTTGGTGGGAGTTGCATTACAAATGGCCTTATCCCACTGTACGTACCCGACTTCGTATCTCCTCTCATCGTTCCACCGCAAAAGAAAAACGCTTAGGCAACCGAGATTAGACGATTCAATTGCTCAGATACTTCGGTTAGATAAAATAGAAAGACGAGAAAATCGATCTACAATTGCAACATATTGCGACGAATCGAATATAAATATGCGTATAATGATTTTAATTTTGACTGTGCAGGAATCGGAGAAGGTGGCATTGGCGGAATCGACGGGTTTAGATCAGAAACAGATCAACAATTGGTTCATAAACCAAAGGAAACGCCATTGGAAGCCATCGGAGGATATGCAATTCATGGTGATGGATGGTTTGCATCCTCAGAACGCGGCTCTTTACATGGATGGCCATTACATTGGTGACGGTCCTTATCGTCTCGGACCATAAAGAAATATCGCATTCTTCACTGGTTTAAATCCACGTCAGTCCATGCATCGACTAGTTCATGTTGCATTGGTATATATATATACATACATATATACATATAGAGCCTTTATATGAATGAATATATGTTGATGCTTTCGTGTTACAAGTGAGAATTTGTAGTGTCCATAGTTCAGTGTTATATATAGCTTTCTTTTGTAATGTTTTGGACCATGGGTTATATTCATGTAATATGTATCACCATTTCTCATCTCCCAATTTTTTTTCAGTTAAAAAAAAAAAAAAAAAAAATCTAAAAGATTTACGATGATATCTGAAAGGCGGATTTAGATTTTCTATTTTCGTAAATTATTTTGTTTTTTAAAATATTTGCGTACGAAGGCTTTGATAATTAGGCCCGTAAATATTTATGTTTTCACAAATAGGTTGGGCTACTTAACGTTATTACTCTTTAAGCCCACCTAAAGCCCAACTAGAGTTCGGACCAAACCCATGATGAGAGCAGGCACACTTTTTTTTTTCATTGGGAAAATTTATCATTTGACAAGCAGAAAATAATATTTATTGGATTCTTAATTTTATGGGGGATTTATTTCCGTTAAGGATATACCAATGAACATTTTTATATGTTTTTATTCGGTTTTTCATAATTCTATTTAAATCGAACCGAATTAATTTTTATTTAAAAAAATAATTCTTATTATGAAAGAGCCTAGATTTTTATTTCAATATTTATAAAAATAGTATGAAAAAACTTTTAAAAAATATTTTCGAATATCTTTTAAAAATATTTACTGTTTGACTTCATATCTTTTATATCTATTTGCTGGTGACAAAACTCAATAATTATAGACTATAGTAGATAAACATTTTATTAAGAAAAACTAGTTGAATCTAATAAAATTTAATATAAAAATCGAACAAATATAATTTTTTTTGAAAAATCTGAATGTAAAATACCAAAACACTCCCCTCTAGTATTTTCTTTCTAGAAAAGCTGAGGCTTTAGTCTATTCCGGATTTAAATTTTGCAATATAATTTACTTTACCTACTCATTTAATGAAATGTCAAAATAGAAAATCCATGGAAACAGTCGCTGCTCTCAATTTCAACGTCATATACTATAAAAAAAAATTTATAAAATTATACAAAAAAATAAATAAATAAACATATATAAAAAAATAAGGAATTTGCATCGTCAATGTTTTTTCAAAAGAGGCAAAACGACCCACAAAAAGAAATGGTTACACCGCAGTTCCATCCATATAATTATGTGTATATATCAATGTGATTCTCGACTAAGTAAGACTACAAACAGAAGACAGCCCAAAGTCTTCTCTCCGCCATTTCCCATCTCTCTCTAATTTTCTATTCATAATCACAATAATCTCTCTCTCTCTCTCTCTCTCTTCTTCTTCTTCTTCTTCAAAAGCTCATGTTGTTTCAGTAGCGAACATCTTGTTTGACCAAAGTCAAAGGTCGTAAATTTCACCGGAAAAAGAAGAGAGAAGAGAGATGGGAAGAGCACCTTGTTGCGACAAGGCCAATGTAAAGAAAGGGCCATGGTCTCCTGAAGAAGATGCTAAGCTCAAATCCCACATAGAGACGCATGGCACAGGCGGTAATTGGATCGCTTTGCCTCACAAGATCGGTAATATCCAACATAATGATCCCCTTTTTCACGGATGATATATATATTATATAGCTATGTATATATATGCTTTTGGTTTGATATGTAATCTGTATATGTAATGTAATGTTTTAGGGTTGAGGAGATGTGGAAAGAGTTGCCGTCTAAGGTGGTTGAACTACCTAAGGCCGAATATAAGGCATGGAGGCTTCTCCCAAGAGGAAGATAACATCATTTGCAGCCTCTACATTAGCATTGGAAGCAGGTAATATACATAGATGTCTAAGTCTATCTTCTAATCTATCCTTGATGAAATCATGTAAGTGTTTATGAGTATATATATATACACATTCATGTATGGTTTATAGGTGGTCTGCTATTGCATCACAATTACCGGGAAGAACGGATAACGATATAAAGAACTACTGGAACACGAGGCTGAAGAAGAGGTTCCTCGGTAACCAACTGAACAGCAGCGGTTACATGAACATGACGAAGCAAGGAGTGGACAAAGATGCCATGGTTACATCTTCTATCACTAGCATCAACCATAACATCCATGATCATGATGTCAAGGAAAAACCTCCTTATTGGGAAAGAGAATTCCCTTGCAATCTCCCAAACCAATCTTTACCCTTCAAAGACTTTCTCTTCGAGCCGGATGGGCGCTTCTCCAGTGGAGATGACAGTCAAGGACTGATGGCCGATGGGAATAGCTTCTCATCATTCCGACCCATTCCTTCTCCATTGCATCCGGCCTCATCCATGAACCATACAACGCCTCAGATACATTTCCAAACCCGATTTGGTACTGATCAAAGCGAGACGGGTTTTCAGGCAATGCAAGGGCGGAGCGAGATCAACCACAGCGAAGTGTTTCCGTTTACCGACACAATGACTTGTGAAGCAAGTAACACCGGTTCTTGGGGTTACTTCACATCTCTAATGACTCTCCCACCTCTTTGCCCTTCATCAGATAACTACAACCTTACTATGCATCCAAAGGTATTGCACTAGCAGATTGTGGCCTTCGGATAGATGAACCTTGGGTTTTATCTTTCCGTAAATACCGATCGGTGTTGCAGTTAGTAGTGTAATTACCTCTTGGATGTATAAATTAATGAAATATTAAGATACAGAAATGAATGGCCAGTGGTGTTTTGTGTATGAAACATGTCGGATTTTCCTACATTTTATATTTTCCAAGTTTGTCGGTATGGACCGTAAACACGTTATTACAAAACATGCGTCGTCCGTATGGCATTGCATGTACTTGCAAGATCGTGCATGTCTATATATATGTAAACGCATAAATATTGGTTTAACTGCAAGGTCTTTTGTTCAAATGAAAAAAGAAATGGCCATTATTTGAAGCACACAACAATTTCACAAAGTGCAAGATATATAAAAGAGAAAGAAACCCAATTAAATGCGTTATTGGATATAAATTCGACTGGCAAATATTTTGTGCCATGTACGAATGAATCTTTATTATCCTATATATATTAGAGATTATCATGAAAAACAAATTTAAAATAATTAACTCATCAGGCAATTAATTAATTAATTAACATAGGAGCCATGAAGTGGTCTTTTTTTTTCGTTGCCTAAACAACCGCCGAACGGAGACAGCTCCAATATTTTTTTTTTAAATTTGAAATTTCTAATATTCTTAAAATAAGACAAAGTAGCTAGAAACTGCATGTCAAACTAGAGTTTTCACGTGTTTATTAATTTACATCAACGGTTGGTGTGGTGACACTAATCCAACATATATTTTTTAAGAGATAAATGAATATCAACAATTAAATGATTTAATATTACATATTTTAATATTTAAAACTTTCACAAATTAAATATCAAAATTTTGTTTAAAACGTTCTTAAAAGTCTAATTAAAAAATACGTATTTTATTTGATATTTTAATATCGATTTGATGGTGATATAGAATAATTAAATAAAATCATAAAAATAACGAATAATTTAAATATTTTATCTTCAATTTAGATGTATATTTTTGTATTAAAATATATTATCTTCAATTTAGAGCTCGGTGCGCCTATTTTCTCATAGAGAAAAGCCCAATTCAAAAGCCCACAAAAAGCCCAATTCCTATCAGGCTCTGGATTCTGGAAAAACCTGCTGCGCCGAGAAGAAGAATGGCCATCGAAGAAGAGATGAGACTCAAATGAGCTGAGCAAAAATGACCCTTCTCGCGCCAGCTTTGCCTCTGCCCCTGCCGTCTCTAGATTTCAAGGTTTGTATATAAAATAAATCCGATTTGCAGATTTGGGTTAAGTTCGAACTCGGATGATAAACTTAGTCGGCAGATGTTGATTGCCGATGAACCCGAACTGCTTGTGAAATGAAATCCTTCCTTTTAAGACATTGTTTTGTTGATGTTTGGTTTGTTTGTTTTTTTCGCAATCTTTGTTTGATGAAGCTTAGCTCCACAAATATTTATTGGGTTCAGATTCTGGGATTCGTTTGTTTTTTCTTCTTCTGTCTGTGGGAACCTACATTGAGTTGTTTGAGGTTTTGGTGTTAAATGGTGCCCATTGTTCTTGTATGATAATGATAACAACTGGGTTTGAGTCAGAATTCATCAAAGCTTAGAGCTTTGGTGGATTAAGAAGAATATATCCTCTGATATAAAGAAGTTTTTTTCAAATTTTGAACTCTTTGGAGGACTTTATGGCATTGTTTGTTAGATGTTTTGTGTTGTATTTCCTTCTCAGGCAAAAGCCTTTGCATCTGTGCCTTGGTCTCCGTTCCATGGACGTGTTTCAACTTGTGCCCGCTTCGAAAGATTGCCCTGTTCTTCCATGGGAGGAAGCCCAAGAAAGTATGTGGAACTAATTGGTATCTCGGAGACTGTTCAAGAGGACGTCCTGAAGTCTTTGAGAGATTTTCCATGGAGAAAGGCAGAAACTTTATTGATGCAGAGGTTGATGTCTCTGGGAAGAACTCTGTTGAAGTGGTCTTTTGTTGCCTGGTTTGTTATAAGCTCTGTATCTGATGTCTTAACCTCCATAGCCATCAGTCAAGAACTCATGGTACCTTTAGGTCTGCTCATTGGCTGTTTGGTCTGTGAACTCTTGAAAGAGACAGCGAGCGTAATGCTTCCAGACTCAGAGGTATTTACTATTTCTGTAAGAAGAACCCGAGACTTCTCAGCTTAAATGTTTGATCTTTTTCACGAAAACGGGTTCTTTTTTTTTTCTTGTGTGTGATGTTATGGTATTCTAAACCAGTGTTCACTCTCGATCTCAGGAAAAAGGTTTATACTTTCAGTTCTTTGGAATCAGCTGCTTCTTCGTCATTATCAAGTTTGTCTCTGCAATTTTCGGATCAAGAACACGGATGTTTCTTCTCCATTTTGGAAATGGTGGCGTCCTTCAACTTCTATGGCTGTTCTCGGGAATGTTATGGAGGAGAAGTAGCTGCACAACTGAACAGAATCGTTCTCCGGAGGATGCTTCCGAGTAGCTTCTCTTTCGGGTGTCACAGAGATATTTCACCGATGCTTTCTGAAAGGGTTCAATGGCCGATGCAGAACCTTGGAGCCAGATTGCTCCCATTAGATCAATCTGTAAGCAAAAAAACCTGCATCTTGATGCAATATTAGTGAAGACGATGTAAGTTCGTTAGATCAGTAGGCTACATGTGAAACATTTGGTTCTTCGGGTCGGTTCACTGTCACCGTCACAAACCCGACACTGTAATCAGGTTTTGTTCGGTTTAGAAGGTGACAGTTTCCCAGGAATCTCCATCTTTATCAGACTTGCCTTTTGTGTTAACAGGATGAATAAATGTTTACACGAATGACACTTGACGAACAAATTCATACAATGGGTGCCCAAATAAACCTGCCTTGAACCAAAACCGAACCGACCCGGATTCAATTCGTCTCTTTTCGATAACATTTTCTCGAATCTATAAAGGCGCTTCAAATCCAACCCGAACCAAACCGGACTTTACTATGCTTCATTTCATGCATGATCTTTTCGACCCGCCTCACTCAATGGTTACCAGAGACTCAAATATGCAATTTAACCTCCGTTCCTATAATATTTAACTAAAAAAATACAAAACTCTAATAATATAAACAAAAACTAAAATTTTGACGCGCACACAGACATATATATTTATGTATTAAAGAAGATGGATATTGTTCATGTGTAGCAATAATGCGTGGACTTGCAAGTAAAAAAATAGGAATTGAACATCGGCAAGAGTCACAATCCAACAAGTTTATAGCATTAAACAAATAGAAAGATTCAATTAACAAAGACACCTAACTCAAAGAGAGACATGGGAAGCATAATAGAGCCTTGCTAGTTTGCACGTTTTCTTTGTTGTTCCATGATTGGGCTTATAACTTTATTATATATATATATATATATATATATAAGCAAAATTATATATTTATAAAATAGTAAAATATAGGGTTTGTTATTTAATGTGATGAAACTCCAAATGCAACGTTTCCCTCTCTAATGATTTGGAGACACGAATCTTTGTTATGGTTTGGCACAAACTTTTATACACGTCTCTTGTTATAAATTCTTTTCTTTATGAAATCAAAATTTATCAAAAGTAAATTCTTTTGTACGACTTGGGTGGCCAAATTTATCAAAACATGTTCTGATCCTGGGTTCAAACCCAAACGTGGGGAGAGGCATTCACATGGATTTTCCCGTTCCTCTAGATGGGAGATGTAGTTAGACCAAAGGTCCGGTGAACTTTCGAATTAAAAAAAATTCGTTTATACGTAGGACGGTTGAAAAAAAAAACATAATTAATAATTATGTCTCTGCTGTACGCAGACTTATCCCAAACGATTCGAGGGAATGAGTTTATTTTGTTATTAAAACAAAAAGAACCGAAGCAGCAGTGCAGAAATTGGCCTACCATGCAAACCGACATTTAATGTTACACAAAAGACATGACAAACATGACACGAGAAAAGAATGACGTTTTGGTTAAATAATTCATTCATCTCAAATAAATTCAAATTTCAAATTAAAATGATCTTTATAGAGAAGCAGAATTTCACATAAAAAGTATATTCCATATCAAAATCTCTCATAATTCTACTAGCATACTGCTTATATTATATTACCGAATTTACACCGCTGTCAGATTCTATAACTAATCCTATTGTCTAAAAAGAGCGTAATGTTTAAATTTTCTGAATTTATTAGACTTGGTTATTCAGAATTCGATTTTTTTTTAAAAAAAATTGTAAATGAAAGTTCCATTAAAAAAATGTGTCGGCATTAATCCCTGAGATGTCCCTAAGAGACAATGTGTCGGTGTCCCAAAGCACCACATTTAGCATGTCACCATGTCGTTACATAACTATTAAATTCACATAACTATATATATGTATATATGTGTGTGTTATTATTTTCAAAAAGATATAATTTTTTAGTTGCTTTCTTGAATTCAAATACATATATATATATATATATATATATATATATATATATATATATATATATATAAACAATGGCAAAACCTTATTCAATCATCCACTCGGACAAAAGTATTACAATTTTGTTGCTTACCTGACTCTAATTTAGTTTAAATAATATACATTTTTCATGGACCTACATAGTCCCTTTTTCTGATGGGTGACAATAAAAAAAATGTTTTATTAATACGGTAATTATATATTATGCAGAAGCTTCGCTACCTCTCGTATGCATGGCAGGGATACTTTTTTT